AAAACTCCACTACTCCAATAACTAGATACTTAAACTCCAATACAATTCAACGAGATCTCCGATCTGATCTCAGTGCTGAACAACTCTCTCTATATATACCCACACTGTCTATAAATAGACCATTACATCAGCATACACAATGAGTCTGGAACTTTCTACAAAATTCTAGAATGTTCCATTACTTTCTATTGCTTTCTACAGTGTCCTATTACCTATTCAACCAACTTCTAAAAATTCCACCCAGACACAGAACGGTTCTAGAACATTCTCAGTCACACGGAAGTGGTGAACAAGACGTATGCGACAGTTTGTGTCGTTGAAATCCATCTGGCAGACTGTAATTTATGTTTAAAGTTATCCCCCGATTTATTTGGATATTTAGTTTGCAGTGTGACACTCACGGTCTTGCTTTAGTATCTTCCATACTTCAATCCTGTTGGACTGTGCACCTTAGCTTAAAATTGTCGTAAAACAATGTTGAGATCTTCAATATTCGAGGTTCTTTCTCTTATCCAGTCCTTAACAGTTCAAATAAGTGAATACATATGTCGTAAATGGCAGATTAGTATCGTACTGACTGATAAGCACGAAAATTTTAAAGGTCAACATAGGAAAGACACAAGTGCAAAGAAATGCAATGTTGAAACATTTTCAATTCAAATAAAATTCAAATGACTCTATAGGCTAGTGGTCTGGTGATCATCCTGTCACAAAAGTTAAGATGAATTGGTCATGGCTAGAAATTGCATGGACTACCTGAGAAAACCAGCTGGTGAAATACTGTGATATCTTGCGATCGGAACATAATGGATGTAAGCTATATTAAAACGGCGTGCAAAGGTGTGCAAAGTGAGTGCAAATTTGGTGAATGTGTGTGTATAATTTAACTAAGTTGTTCTCATATTTAACCATGAAGTTATAAATTTGAAAGTGATGTAAAAGTGCCGTATTAACAGAGTTCCGTATGAGCGTCCCGTAACAACATAAAACATATGAAAGGCATTTGAAAAGTTGGAGGGTTTGCTAAATTTAAATATATTTTACCTAAATCATAGTTATATCTATCTCGCAGTTAAATATATAGAAAAAAATGAGTAAATAAATCAGAAAACTTTATATATAAGCTGTTTTACCACTATCAAAGCGTAAAATGATAAACAAACTGATTACTAAATTGTGAAAATTGATTGCAAAGGTCTGATCTAATCGGTAAATACTTTATTATCATGAAGATCATATTGAATCTGAAACTTCAAACAGTTACGTAGACATAAGAAAACAACATCGCTTGAATAATGACAACTGCTTTTGACTTATGCATTGTTGTAGAATAAATACACTGTAAATCTAGGTTTTTTAAAATATGACATATTTTTTCACTACTTTAAAATCACTTGTAATCATTTACAATTAAACATATGAATTTTTTTTCTTAAAATCGCAAATGAGTATTTTACAACACTAGTGTTTTAAAATAAAACATTTTTAATGTTTTGTGAAAATATTTAAAGTGTTCATAAGCTTGTCCCCACTTTAAAAACACTTAAAGTATTTATAATCTGCATAATTGCGAAAAGTGTTTATTATGAAAACACTTTTATTAGAACATTTCAGGGATGTTTTTGCCCATGACACATTATGTAAAGTGGTGCCATTAAAGCACGTTTTTAAAAGTGTTTCCACCAGAAACATGTATATAAAGTGATTATTATCACAACACTTTTAAAAGTGCTATTACTAGTCACACATTTTATAAAGTGTTTATAAGCACGACACGTAGAAAAATGTCTCAACCGAAGACATGTTTTAATGAAGTGTTTACTATCACAATTCTTTGAAAAGTAAAACACAAACTGAATATTTACAAGTGCTTGTAACAGAAACAATAATGTATTTACACTGATAACATGCTAAAAAATCATTAACATTATCATTTTTGAAAACCAAATATATGAAATGATGCGTTTTTTGCCCTATTGTACAGTGATCATAACATGTATCTATTCCTAAATATAAACATTAATAAGGTAAGTTTGAGTTTAACATTTAAAAAACAGACATGCATAGTTGTTGTGAAAGATATTATCAATCACATGAAGAAGTGTCTTTGACTTGACCGCAAAAAACTAGTTGTACATTGAAAATACATTCTATAAACTTAAAATATCAAGATAATCAGCACGGTCTTCTACTGTAAATATGTGACATCACAATAATAAAAATACAAACAAAAATGCTTGATGTCTGTTTCATATTTGTGACGAAAGTAAAAAAACCAGCTGGTCTGCTCGATTGAGCTTAACTTGACCACTCGGCTATTAGGGTTATTTGAATTTGATTCGAATTGACAGTCATATATTGTTTAGAAATGTTTCCAAATTACATTCGTTTGCACTTGTGTCTTTCGTAAGTTGACCTGTGACCTTTTCGTGCTTTAGCAGTCAGTTCGATAATAATCGGACATTTACGACATATTTATTCACTTTTTCAAACTTTTAAAGACGCACGAGAAAGAACCTCGAATATTGAAGATCTCATTAATGTTTTACGTCTAGCAGGAGTGAAATATGGGAGATATGGGATATACACTACAAACTACACTTCGTGAAATCGAGGGATAACTTTAAACACATATACAATCTGCCAGATGCATTTCAACAAGACAATCATTCCAACGATGACTTCGTGGCACACATAATATTTGCTAGGTGTGTATATCAGTCACCGCCCCAAATACTAAAGCATTCTATGTATTGTCTTTGTAATGCATGTATAGATTTGTAACGACTGCTACTGATTGATTAATGCGTGGATTGTAAACTCATTCAGTTGAATAGAATATGGTCATATTGACAAATGGTGTAGATTTTGTCATATTAATTTTCATTCAAATATTTGTCATGTGTATGAGTCATTAAAAGCAATATATTGGACATGTTTACTCTGCGTCTCAAAGTTGAAAACACTGTGATGTGATGTTTTTATTATTGACTGTTCATATCGGTGGAATGATTGTTCACAGTAACAATGCATTTGTGGCATGGTTAACGCAATAAGTCATAATAGCGATGTTTCTCTAAAGTATCTGGTTGGGTTACCTTTCCAGATAAATGTATCAAATGTTATCATTTGTTTGTCTAAAAATTAGGTTAAAACAGGACATAAATCACTGGTATTGGAAATATCAATCAAACATAAAGATATATACTTTTACATATTACATACTGAGATGTAAAACATGTCACTATTATTTCACCACGGTTAATGTAATCGAATTAATGAGTCATAACCACAGTTAGCGAGATTTTAGTAAAATCACGTGCAAAGTTATGAATTTCTTCGTATATTAAAAGCATTTTTATATTATTCTACACAATGGTCGGCCTTTACAGTCACAAATACTAACAACATAGGACGACTGAACACACTTGATAATAGAGCCATACAGACATAATGAACTGGATTTTCCACTACTAGTTTCGAAAACACAACCACTTAAGTAAAGTTTTCGAACAAAGCTAGCAATTTTTCAATCGCTTTTCTCAACTTTGCTCGCTATTTGCTAGCATGTTACGTTGAGCTCGTTATACAGTCTGAAAACACATATGGAGCTTTTACTCTAATTTTCATTAAATTTTATAACATTTAACTACGGGATCAGTAGGATAAGCACATATGAAATATTGCAATAAAATCTGCCAACTTTCAAATTACTTTTGAAGACTTTGCAGCATCATTGTAACAGATTATTGCCACGTTTATCGTCTACAGTTAGTGAGATTTTATTGAAATTACGGGCAAAGTTATTAATTATTTTGGATACAAAAGCAGTTTATATTATTCTACAAAATTGTTCGCTTTTACAGCAATAAATAAGATATACTAAATTGAAACGAATAATTTAAATGTCTACACAAAATTTAAAACAAAAAAATGCTAGTTGATGTGGTTTGTATGGCCGTCTTCTAATATATAGGGATTGCTTTTAATTGATTTCAACTAAGTATTTTAACATTCATCTACGGAGCATTTGCCATCAAATCTATCAATCACTTTTCACAACTGACGGTCGGACAAGAAATGCATGTCGAGTCTATACAGATGTGCCATATCTACTCTAGTATTTTGTATTATGTTATCTATAAATTTTGACGTCACAAAACCAACAATGCTTGTACTCGTAAATCAAACAATATCTAATCACTAAAAAAACCTGCGTCTTTTTTTGTCAATCGGTTTATTATTTTTTTAAATATACTGCATTATATTGTGTCTCTACGAACTCCGAAGATATATTTAGGAAGTGAAATATATAATGTATTACGCAGTTATAAGGGAAATTAAAAAAGATCATGAGACATATGAATAACCAGCTGCAAAGTGTTTTGAATATAGTGACTCGCTAAATAAAATAATACTCTGGTATTCAACTAAAAATAGTTATGGTAATTTAATAATAGCCGATTACAAATGCTACGGGTAGCCATTCGTACGCCGTAAGGAAACTATACAGCAGACGCGATCATTTTCTCTGACGTCTTCCAATCAAAACTAACATCAACAACAGGAAATGTGAGTATAGACAATCAACATATAAATGAGCTTGGTACAATTTTCTTGTTACTAATTTTAGATTGTATTTTTATTACATTATTACGAACAATCTACTTATATGTAATATATGTACCGCTCTCAGTGGTTTGACTATTTATTGTAAAATGCTGTAATAAGGTATCTAATAATGTAGTTATGGTGGTAATGTTTTTTTTTTATCATTTAATTTAATGATCTATGTCTCGGCATATAGTAGGTATGGACGTTAACATACATAACAATAAGAATATTGATAATAGTCCTGCTAGGAGTCACTAATCCTACCTCGGTCAAAAATTCAAAAGTGCTTTCCCTGAGGTCTTGGTAATACACGGCGAAAAATTCCGTTCTTTAGCTTTCAAAGGATGCAGACTCAGTGAATTCAGAGTAAATGAATGTAGCCATAATATCACGCTACTTGAAAAAATCAGGTTAGAGAGTACACAGAATAGCCGACCACGCTTACTTTGAAAACACAGATTTCCAAATATGACGTGGAACCACTGCTGATTAATGTAAATCTCTCATTCATCCATTAATATATTGACAAATTTTATTTTGATAGTTGCCACGTCGACATCATGATTTAAATATAAAAAACAAACCGAATGGCCACAATAAGCCCCTACAACGCTTAACCCACTATGAATTAAACGATTTTTTTTATCAGGTAGTCTTTAATGATTACATGTTTCTATTAATAATTTTGTTTCAAACTTGTCTGATTCTTTGCTTGTAAACTCTCTTGTGAAATCCATTATACTTTCGAAATAACTTCAGCTCTCCTAATAATATTATGAGGATATTACGAGGATACCTCAATGTATGCATGAAGAGAGTACAACGGAATAACGAAAATGATATGATCCCACAGAGACTTGTAATTTTGAATAAAATTTGCCGACTTTGCTTAAAAACACGCAATATTTGTAGACGTAACACTGAAAAAAACGTGCTTAAATGAGCTTGACGAAAATTCTATAACGTCACCGCAGTCTCCCCAAGAGCGTAACACGTACTGTAGACACCTTAGAAAAATAGCGTTTCCAAACCGGGTTTTGAGGGACTGTGGTTATATAAACGTTGCCACGACACGAAACTACATACATACACGTTTCAACTTCGTAATACGGGTCCGAATTCTTGATGTTTCAATAACATTGATAGGATATAACATACTTGTACATAATATAAGAACGTAAATTACCCTAATTAAGCATTGTTTTTGTATCTATTTTTTTTCAGCACGGAAAGTCATCATGGTACCAACACGCATTATCTTGATTTTAATTGTCTTGTTGTCGTCAATCTCCCTACTGGAATCTTTTTTATTTGGTCTGTACGGCGGCTATCTTGTCGAACCCGGAAAACGCTTCAATTTGTTAAATCTCATATCGAGAAGAATGACTGACACCAGTACAAACAACTGAGACTATCCTTATACATATGTATTTATGATTCAACTAATGCATTTAAGAATATGTCAATAAACACGTTTAGTGTAAATCACTAAATTGTAAAACAGACTTGTCATGTATAACGGCGTCACATACTTTGAAAATGAAAAAAAACACCCAATACAAACTCCGTAAGTTAGAACCATACACATATACACTCAGTGCAACTAAAGTAATCGCTTGACTTTCTTATGCAACTCATTTTGGGCAACAACATTAAGTGAACAACCTCGTGGAGTGGTACAGGAGAGTGGCATCGAGGTAATTCAAAATTATCTTGAATATGCAATAGTTCGCTTAGAGATATCATGAGAAAAACAGAAATCAAAAATATAATAACGCAAAACTAAGTAATTATCATCCTAAACTGTAAGATGGATTCAAAAAAAAAAGAAGACCCAAGTGGTGGTTATTAGGGGTAACGATGGTGTGCCTACGTAAAAAGTCGGGAAACAGATTATTATCTTCTGTGGTGTAGTCGCTGTGTAAAATTGTTTATTAAGGGTTAGAATTCAGCAGTATTTTCTTAAGATGTTACAAAATTTAAACCCAGGGATACAGTATACTTATTAAATTGATTTAACAACTTGGAATGGTGGAATTTATTTAAACTAATACTACAGTTGTTTACATCAGAATGGCTCTAATATATTTATCGAAACTTTTATTATTTCAATTCAACAACTTGTAATGGTGGAAACTGTCATACAGCAGTTCTTTACATCAGAATAAATATCAAATACAGTACCGAATAATGTATCAAACACTCGGGTATTGTGCTACACGTAACGGAAGTGACAAAACCTAAGTGTTTACATATATTAGTATATCCCCCCAACTTTGCGAATGATTTTCATATCAATTTAGGCTGTTTAGAACATGTTACGGTCAGCTTATTTGGCACTCTGCTAATATACGGGACTTTCACTTCCATTTTATTCACTTTATAACTTCACGGTTAGATATGATAACAACTGTTACGTTCAGACGCTGGTACTCGAACAAATAAAACGCCCGAACGCAAGCAGTGTGCAAGATAGAATGGATAGTATATTTTCAATGCCCTATTCAATTGTCACATAACTTTGTGTGCTACACCACACCTCAAACAAAATTACTAGAGTAACATGCAAACAATATATACTTCCGTTTAACAACGGCAAAAAGCACAGACAGTCAAAAGTAACAATACTTATCAAATCAAAGAGTTCATTCTGTGCTGGCCTGTCACTCCGTGTCTTCGTTCTTTTATCTCAGGTGGTGTCAGTCAATCTTCATTCTTTCAATGCCCGTCATCCGTCGAAGCATACGACGTTTCAGCTCCCACGTTGACCTTTTGCAGCTTCCACCAGCACGTCGCCGGAACGTTCACACAATGCAGACCGGACAGCTAACAATGTTCAGAGCAGCCCCCATTTCTTATAAACTGAGAAACCAGTCACTAATACTGGTAAAAGTCATAGTGTTATCAGTTTGCCGTCTATTTGCAGTCTCCTCAACGTAAAACAAAAACTTTTCATAGCCAAAGAAGACTCCTCAGCTCAGTACAAATAAATATGCTAATATACACGCAAATCTACCAACTTTATACTCACTTAGCACAACTTAATTGCTTACATCCATTATGTGCGGACCGCAAAAATAGTTGTACATTGAAAATACGTGCAAATTTGAAACATTCTATAATAAATAAAATAATCTGGACGATTTTAATTGTAAATGCGTGACATCACAATAATAAAAAAATGCTTTATATCTTTTTTATACTTGTGACGAAAGCAGAAAAAAAGTATTTAAAAAAATATTTGGTCTCGCTTGCAATTACTAGCCACGCCCGATTGATCTTAACATTTGTGAGAGGTCGATCACCTGACCACTCGCCTATCAGCGTCATTTGAATTCGCTTCGAATTGGCGGCCGTTTTATGTTTGGAAATGTTTCAAAATTACATCCGTTTGCACTTTTGTCTTTCGTAGTGTGACCTGTGACCTTTTCGTGCTCAATGTTGAAAACACTGTTTAAAGTAATGTTTTTATTGCTGGTGTTCATAACTGTGGAATGATTGTTCAGTTATATGAATACTCCCTGAACCATGGCTGTCTTACTGGAGGCGGTATTTTCATTGTTTTGATACTGGTCATACATCTTGAACTTACAACAACTATGGGTGTTATTTATACGGAGCAGTTTGGTTATCTGCCCACTATTGCACGTCAGTGTTCCTATTACCATTTACACAACAATGGTAGGGTAACACAATATATTCTAATGACAAGGCAACACAATATATCTTGAATGCACTTAGATGATGTTGTAATACAAATCATAACAATTATTTTGCTACCAAAAACTGTCACTCTGTTCGTTTTTTGACAATGCATTTCGTGGCATGGTTAACTCAATACATCATAATAGCCATAAAGATATATACTTTTACGTATTACATAATGGGATGTAAACATTTAATTATTCATTCAACACGGCGGTGAATGGGATGTTATTAATGAGTCATAACTACAGTTAGCGAGATAGTATTGAAGTTACGTGCAACGTTCTGAATTCATTTGGATTTGAAAAGCATTTTTTTACATAATTCTACAAAATGGTTCGCCTTCACAATCTTAATAAGATATACTAAATTGAAATGAATAATCCAAGTGTCTGACACGATATTTAAAAAAAATCGCTAGATCATTTGGTTAGGTGGTCTCCCATACAAGTACTTGCCACTCCCGATGAAGCTCAACACACGTTCAACACTTGACAATAGAGCTACTTAGACATGATGAACTGGTTCATAATTTTCGGTCATTTAATAATTCAAAATATATATTGATTCAAATTGTAATGTCTCGGATTTGACTTATGACATCTACTTGTTCAGACGACGATGATTTGACACTCGTTTACGAGGCTTTTCGTCGATTTTCCAATACTATTTGCGAAAAGACAACCGCATAGATAAATTTCCAAACATAACTCGCAACTTTACACTCGCTTTATTCATCTTTGCACACAATTTCTTTACATTTGTACACTCGGTTTGTATTGCCGACTACTTATATATTAGGATTGCTTTCAAACGACTTTTATTTAAGTATTCTAACATCCATCTACGGAACATTTTCTACATACAGATCAGTTAGATAAATCGTCGACCTGTGCGAAGTCCTTCTAAAGGTCTTTCTGACCACACATTCGCAAATTCTTTTAATTGTACTGATTTTAAGTTGTAATACAAATAGCAGTAACTTGAAATAAAAAAAGACGGTGTTATGACTATCACATTTTATTCATACATGGACGACAAGCTCTTCTCTATACTAACGGTGTTTTCGTATTTTTTTTCAATTCACAAAACATGGACTCAATGACTCAATGACTGTTTAATGTTTAGTTTGATGATTCATGAAATAAATGGATATGTATAAAAATGAATTGAAACCAGTTTTATTTATTAGCATAATCGCATGTTACAGATCCGGTGGTACTGTTAACATGAAAGGTGTGAATATCGCACGTAAACAACGTGTCAATTAAAAGTGGATTTAGTATTTAAATCAGGTCATCTAACTAAGACTGACAGGTTCTGCTCTGCATAAATGAATAGTGTATTATGTTTTCCCACGCATTTTCTGCATAGACAACTGCCTCTCCACTGGTGGAGAATTGACGACAAAACCTGGCATGAAAAACAGAATTAATTGTAGATTTTGGATAACCAAACCAATTCCAGAATGTTATATGATCCATTCTATTTATATTAAATACAAGTGTGTCAAGTTGCATGGTACATGTGCTCGGCAGAATGTGGATATTTAACATTGTCGCTGCTATGCTGTGAGTCCCTTCGTATATGCGCATATCATATAGTTAGTGTTATATTCCAAAAAAATGTCAAATATTATCTACATTGCTGTTCTCTTATTTTTCATTCGTTTTTTCAGTTACAAATTCAGTCTCATGGTCTCATGGCCTCGTGGCCAGGTGCCAACTTGAAGCGACAACGATGGTTACGACTCAATCTGTATTTGTTCACATCCTTTTCGTGCATATATTTTGCATCTAAATACTGAGGTCCTTCTTCCATTATGTCACCCAAATAAATTTCATAGTCGCTAAAATCGACAAAATCCTTTCCGGCATTTTGTTACAATGAAGTACACGGAAGTCAGAAAGTTGAAACTTGCACAGCATTGAAACATGAAAATAAAATTGTGTACACCTGGGCAGAAAATAATCGCGAGGTATTCTGGGTGAAAATGATGTCATACTATATGCTAATTTTCTGTTAATGTAGACAGTGTGGGGATTTCCAGCAAGCTAAGTTTACGAACGCGAAACACACATTGTGACAATAGATCTCATATCGTTTCCTAATCAGGTGTAGAGGAACTGTGACATATCAAACGGTCGTCTCAATGGACATAATTCGAAAAAAAACAGATGACAAATATAATCTAAAAGGCGAACATTGGTCACTTTTTCGGCATATTAAGAGGATATATATATATAGCCTAAAACATGTATAGTACTTGCTACTTTAAAGGGCAACCGACTACAAAAAACAGTAAAAAATAGAGTTTCTACGATATTCAGACCAGGTTCTAAATGCATCCAGTTACCGCTGTGAGCATAATTGCAGGCATTCAGTTATAATAATGGACAAAATGTGCATTAAGGTAGCAGAATAGCTTTTTGAGCACTTTTCAAATTTTTTTTGAAAATCACGCAAGCTCCCTAAGGCATGCTACATACATTGGTGTATTTACTTTATTGAAAAAAATATCTTGTACAAGTAAACTGTTTTTTTTTCTTGTTTGCAAACAAATGGCCAAGTTTTTTGTTTATCCAGTGTACACCAAACTAGTGCATCTCATTAATATGCATGGTTTACAAACGTAACTGAACTGTGGGTAAATAGTTTTAAGTTGGGCCACTTTCTTTATTTGCTATTTACAAACAACTGATAAGATATCTGTTTGTAGTTTACACACAGCTGATAAGATGTGTGCACTGCTGCCTTTCTAGATGAGGAAGTACAGCAAAGACAAAACAATCGCTTTTGA